TCCAAAAAAAAAGAAAAAAGAATGAGTTCAGGAATTTTTAACAAAAATAACAAGGAGGGATACAGGGGGTTCTCAGAGGAAACAAGCAGACAGAATATTAAAAAACTAAAATGAAGGAGAGCAAGCACACGCTCAACAGATATATAATAGGCAAAAAAGAAACGCTTTTATCTCTACTTTTACAATCAAGTTAAACATTTGTACTGGCCCTATAGTACAACAGCTAAGCACCATGCAGAGAAAATTAAATTCCTGGGCCTGTCAGCAGTATGATGGCTAAGGCAGCTGAATCCCATGTGGCCAACTATGTGGCTCAAGTCCCAGCAGCTTAAACATGCTGGACACGTGTGCATGCATACTCAAAATCCTGAGAGGAGAATGGAGAAGGGACTGCAGCATGGTCATGGTGGGGAGGGGGCACTTTCCCCCTGTCTCAGAGCACAGACTCTCTAGCAAACCAAAAAAAAAGGAAAACATGATTTGGATCCCACATGGCTGATCAGAGTTCAAGTTTCAACCCCAGCAGCTTAGACACTGGATGTGCACACATATCCAGAATCCTGATGAGATGAATTGGAGGAAAAACAATTGTAGAGTGACCAGGCCCCACTGAGGGGTGCTTTGCCCCTCCTCCTCCTCTCTCCTTCCTTCTCCCCTAACCTCTAGTGTACACATACACATACGTGGCATAATAAAAGAGAAAAAATAGAAAAAGCAAAAAGGTATTGATTGAAAATATACAGTTTCCAGAACCAGCAGATGGAGTAATGGCTATGGTGCTGGACTCCCATGTAGCCAACCACAGTTCAAGACCCGGACCCAGTGACTTAAAGTCTTGCAGGGCACATGGTACATGCGTACCCAAGATCCTAAGAGGAGAATAGAGGAAAAGGGATTGCGGCGTGACCATCCCCTCTAGGTGGTGATTTTTCACTTTCTCTCTGTCTGTCTCTCTGGCGAGTACACACACCCTATAGCAAAAATCTCTCCAAAAGAAAAAAAAAAAAAGAAAATATGCAACTTCCTTCTCAGTCTCATCATTTAGATGTTTAAATTCCTGTACCTTAAACAGTGACTGAACAATGATGTAAATCACCCTAACATTGTGCTGCATTTTTCAAAGGAACGTTTTTATGTCCACTATACCAAAACAAGAAAATATTAAAAGTTTAAAAAGTTTTTCTGGAAGAATTTAAAACAAAAAGGTGTAAGAGTTAAACCAAACATAAAATGAGGTAACCAAAAGTATTAACACAAAAAAAGGGGGTGAAAGCCATTCTCTAACACATCTAACTTAACAATACATGGTTTAGAGTCAAGTATAATACACTGACAAATCTGTAATAGCAAAAAACTCAGCAATGTACAAAAATCAATCATGGTGTCACTGCTAGCATGTGCTAAGGATTTAAAATAAAACATTGTTTTCCCTCTTGAAGGTAGGGGAGAAAAACAAAATTGATTTCTTGGTGGAAGTCCTTGTAATTTTTTAAGAACCATCCACTTGTAATTTAAACCATTGTTTAAAACCAACTCATTCCAACTCCAATTTAGTCTCCTCTACTAAATATTTTCATCATGGCTATCTACAGACTAAATTTAATCCATTGCCTCTAGTAAAGAAGTACAATATAGGCCCTCTACTAGGAGAATGTGGAAATTCACCAACTGGGTCAAGTTCCTGAAAAATTATCTAACCCCTTAATCTAAAAGGCACAATCATTAAAGCAATGCCCCCACTCTCATTGTCTAGCTAATTGCTGAAAACCTTTAAAATACTTACAAGGTCAAGAAACACCTGTAGTAATGAAATACCTCAAGAAATCAATCCAGTGGTCTTGCATAGTAACTTACTTAATGCTTTATTGGTGGTTTTAATATAAATACAATTATAATGTACAAAAAATATTTATCTGACAGTACTTTCAGTACCCAAGTTTTCATTTCTTTAATATAATCTGAGATGGGACCAGCAGGTGCTATAGTGGTTAAGGTGCTGGACACTCCCACATAACCGACCTTGGTTCGAGTCCCAGACCTGGTGGCTTGCTTTCTCACTTTCCTTCTCTCTCTCTTGCTCTCTCTCACTCTGTCTCTCTCTGGTCAAATAAATATAATAAATAAATGAATAAATAAAAATTAAATAATTCCTTAAAAATATATATGTAATCTGAGGCAAGGAAATTCAACATTTTTTGTTTTTAAGGAGAGGTTTCTACTAGAGGCATGAGTCCTTGCCAGACAGACAGAGACAAAGAGACAGAGAATGAGAAATCACCTCCCAGGGAGGATGGTCAATTCCTGGGGGCCTCAATCCCTTCTCCTCTACTCTCCAAGTTTCAAGCCTCCAGGTCCAGGCCTCAAATTGTGGTTGGTCATGTGGGTATCACCAACGTAACCATTAAGCCATTTGCTGGTCCTAGAAATTCAACTTTTTGAAGCATTATTTAGTTCACTTACTTGAAATATTAAACCCCAAATTTTCCTAAAATGATCCCTGCCTATCCTGATACTTCATATCCTTCCAAACAATAAACCATTCGTTATGTAAAAAGAATGCTCAGCACAAAGTAATGAATGAACAGACTTTTTTGAAGTCACTAGCTCACCCTCTGGAATAAAAAAATTCTCTCTGGAGCCAGCAGGTGGCATAGTGGTTAAAGGTGTTTGATTCCCACAAGGCTACCATGGTTCGAGTCCCAGCCCTGGTGGCTGGCTTTCTCACTTTCCCTTTCTCTTTCTGGCCAAATTAAAAAATAATAACAACAAACCAAATTAAATAAATAATTCTTAAACAAAAAAGTTCTCTTAAGTATTTAGAGTTCATAGTTTTGGAAACAACCATAATAAAATTTAAAATGCTTCTAATGCAATGTATTGAAAATAAAAAGCTTATAGGTGGGACCAGCAGGTGGTGTAGTTAGTGGTTAAGGCACTGGAATCCCACATGGTCAACCACAGTTCAAGTCACAGACCTGGCAGCCGACTTTCTCACTTTCCCCTTCTCTTCTGCTCTCTGGTCAAATTAAAAAATAATAATAAAAAATATTTAAAAAAAAAAAAAACTTTGTAGACTTAAGAAAAAAGGTTAAACAGACTCAGGGTCAGTGGTGGCATGGTGGTTAAAGCACTGAACTCCCACATGGCTGACCACAGTTCAAGTCCCAGACCTGGAAGCTTGCCATCCCACTTTCTCACTCATTCTCTCTCTCGGGTAAGTTCATATGCCCTACCGCAAATTTAAAAAATAAGCAATTATGTTTAAAAAGCCTATAGACTCTAGATGTTTTTTCTTAAATACACAAGATAAATACAGGCCATGAAAAATGTTTCACTACATACAGTATTACATCTTTAAGCACAAAATATTTAACATTAACCAAGATATTTTTAAAGCAGTGATTTATGCAACAAAGTCCTAGAGGGATAATACCACAAACACTGGCAAGCTGATTTAAACTACTAGTTCATTTAAAGATAGTTATGCTACAAAAGTAGCAAGCCTCTGAAACATACTTGCTTTAAATGTGAATACAGAAGTGGACTCCAGAAAATGAACTAACAAATGAAAAGGGAAGTCTAAAAGAAATTCACAAGAATTAACCAGACTTTTTCCCTCAAAATAAGAACAAGGTTTCATTTCAGATACACAATGTTATCCATGTGGTTAATATAAACAAACTGAGAAACAAGGAAATTTACTGCTTAAAAACGTAGTTATCTATCTTAGTAACTACTCTCCAGTGAAAATATTAAATTACCTTTTTACTACAGGCAAGGAAAAACCAATTCTTCCAACATATCCCATGTCGGCCTTCTCTAGAAATGCTTAGATCTCTATGGAAAGAGGAAATGAAGGCTAGTGGCATGGTGGTTAAGGCGGCTGGATCCCACATAGCCAACTATGTGGTTCAAGTCCCAGACCCAGTGACTTGAGATACATGCCATGCACAACTGCACGTGTGCCCAAAGTCCCAAGATGAGAATGAAGAAAGGACTGCGGGGAATGTTTTCTCACTTTCTCTCTCTCTGTCCATCTCTCCAGCAGTGTACACGCCCTAGAGCAATTTTTTTAAAAAAGGATATGAAAGAGGATTTACCAGTCAACTATCCTTCCCTTCTTTTCCAACTTCTCATGTTTCCCCTCTCTAAAGTCTATCACTTATAAATGCATTAATGTAGACTATTTTATCTTTATTATCACAAAACATTTCCTTATCTAGTACATGAATGCAGGATTGGAGAAGAACAAGAGTTTCTGGCTCCATCATGCCAATTTGAGGTGGCACCCATAAAAAGCTTATGTAGAAAATTTTTCAAACTGATTAAGAAAAACAAGAATTTATCTCAAATATGTCAATCCATTTAAACTTAGCTGAGAGAAAATAAAATACAAATCTGATAAAGATCTGCTCTTTTAGAAAGAGAATGAAGTCACTAAAGTGGATTGGACTTAGATGCAACACACAAAACAATCCTGAAGCATTCTCTGTCAGTCCTTAAAATGTAAGAAAATCACCAAGTATTAAAATTGAGGACTGGGTAGGCTCTCTGCTGAAAAGTCAACTGAAAATAACATAAATCCCATCAGAATCACTTAAGTCAACTGAACATCTGTCCTCACTTACTCAACAAAACCTGAAGTCAAGCCATTCAAGTTTACCAAAACGTTCTATACAAAGTTCCAAAAGAAATCTAATTATTCACTTTGAAAAAAGTACTGGTACAATTTTGCAAATAGGATGTTTCCCCCTTTTTCCTTAAAAAACAAGACTTCCCCCCCAAAAAAGGCGCATCTTTTTAAGTACAAAAGGTATCAGAAATGTCTTTCATTTTTTTCACAAGTATATGCACGAATCTACTTAAAATTTTCAAAATGTAAATGGAACCTAAGCACCTATTCACAAGAACCCCATGTTCTCCATAAGATGATTCACTAAGTCTTCCTTCCTTGTCCCGACACTTCCTCAAGAACGACTTTATGCATGGGTTCTACTCACAGGGGTACATGGCGCTGCTCAGGATCAGCTCTGGTCAGTTCTTCCTCTTCAATATCAGACTCTCCTCCTGAACTACTGTCAGTGACATCTGAATCAAATGCCTGTTCACTGCACCTCACGTTGGCTATGCCACTAGCTGTAAATCTCTCCAACTCTTCTGAAATAGAATCGCTTTTCAGGAAGTTGCTAAGTCCCTCTGAAGTGGTGGTCTCACTGGCAGCTTTTCTCAAGGCAGCTTCAGCCTTTCGAGTCAGCATCAACTGGCTCCGGGGTCTCAAGGATTCCAAGTTTGGCAGTTTGCTCAAAGTTTTCTCCAAAAATCCACCCAGCTGATGCTGTATATGCCTCTCCACCTGCTTGGCTTGCACAACCTGTAAGCGCTTCTGTAACCTGCGGGCACGACTCTCAATATCAGCCTGCCGCCGTAGTAAAGCTGTTATCCTTGTGTCAGAATCTAAAGCACTGAAGAGAATGGAAGACAGGGAAGACTTTTTACCCTCCAACTTGACAACCCCCAAGTTAGAGCTGGAGTCTGTACCAGATGATAACCTACTGCTTCCTTGAAGTGCCGGTTGTTCCATGGAATTGACAGAAGATTTGTTTGCAGTGCTATTATTGCTATATATAGTTGTGTGTTCTACATCAAGGCTTCTATGTGGAAGAGTGCAATTGGTCATACCCCCCTTTAAGTCCCCAGATTCAGATCCCTCCACTTCATTCCCCTGAAGAGCAGATGAAGTGAGAGCTCGTTTTCCCCCATTGAGGGAAGTGGAATTGTCATGATCAGAATGTGTTGAACTTTTAGTCAATTTCTTAGCCAACCCATTTACAGGAGCTTGTGGCAGAGCTGTCTGACCACTTGTATTCATGGTTCTAAGATTTTCTAAGGAAAACTCCAAAACTGGCTGTCTCCCCAACAGCTCAGCTCGGAGTTCATAGGACTGAGATAAGAGAGGATGAGATTTAAGGACTGTCTGCTTGCTGAAAACCCCTTGCAATTTCAAAGATTCCTTTGAGGGAACGGATGTTACATCAGAGCAGAGATAAGATGCCACCAGTGGTTGCAGCTTTCCCAAGTCTTCCTTGGTGGGATTATTTCGGAAATCGAGACTGGGATCCTCTGCAGCAATGGCTTTTCTTTTGGTTCCGTTGGCAGCAATGAGGATGTTGGCGTTGCCGTTATTTTCGGCACTGCCAGGGGACAAGGTAGAGGACGGGGGAGCCAGTTTGAACCGGATGTGATGTGCTTCAGCTGCTGCGTCAGTGAGAGCGGGCGCCATCGCAGCCATTCAGCACAGAGAGACAGGAAGTCCAGCCTCTCCTGGTGCTGAGGCCAGCTCCACGGCCCCTTACCGCCTCCCCAGAGAACAGACTAGAAGAGAAAAAAAAGAAAAGGAAATTATAAGTCAGAATACATTCCAAAACCACAGATATATTTTTAATACAAGCACTACTTGGAGCTGTTGTCCAAACTGACCAGAAAGCAAACACTACAGAGCCTTCTGGAGACTATAGTATCTTTCATGGGGAGGTGAAAGGGACCAGTACAATTCCTGCAGAAGAAAAATAATTCTACCCTATTTTCTTGTCATTTGTTATCACTGATTGGAAGTTGCCAAGACAGAAGTTCCATCCTGAGAATCATAAATTGTTAAAGGTAAATCACCTGCATTTAAAGGAGGGGGAGGTCCCTTTAGCTTCTTGAACCAAATATAACAAACAAAACATCTATAATCCAACAACAACAACAAAAAAATCCCTGTACTCCCACACCAAACACACACACACACGCACACACACACACACAACAAAATCAAAACTATTTGCCATAGGTCTGTGCATTTTTTCTGAACAAAGAATTCAATTTTTCTTCTCTGCAAGTAGAGACTATACTGCAAGGCTCACTATACAACACCCATAATACCAATTTGCTTCATCCATTTTCTTTCCTTTCAGATTAGACAGCTCATCATCATCTCTGTTGGCTCCTTTCTCTCAGCCTAAGATTTACTTTAGTATACCCTGTCCTCAGTACAGCTTTCTCCCTCTCCAGCTATCTGGAGAGCATATGTGCCCTTTGAAAGTTTAAAAGAAAGGAAAAAATTTCCCCTCTCTGTTCTTCAAGTCTCCAAAACTCCAAACTTGCTTTCTTCTTCTAACATACTTACTTGTTTCATTATCTTGGGTAATGGCACAGTTTTATTTAGTAACCAAAATAGGGAAAAAACAACAACAACAAAATTTCAATCATTTCTCTCTTCTTCACTCCCTTTTATCTATTTGGTCTGAGAACAAAGGGAAACCTATATAAAGAACTAATCCAGCTGCTCTTAAAAGTGTGAACTTGGGGAAACCAGCAGTTAGCATAATGGCTATGTCGCTGGACTCCCATGTAGTCGACTGCAGTTCACATACTGGACCCGGTGGCTTAGAACTCACGCTGGGCGCATGTGCGTGCGTGCCCAAGATCCCGAGAGGAGAATGGAGAAGGGATTGCGGGGTGACCATCCCCCCTGGGGGGTGATTTCTCGCTTTCTGTCTCTATGTCTGTCTCTGTCTGTCTGGCGAGCGCACCTGCCCTATAGTGAGAATCTCTCAAAAAAAAAAAAAAAAAGTGTGAACTTGGGCTGGCTCTGTGCATAGCAGTAATATGCTTGAGAGAAGTTGGACCCCACATAGTGAACACAATTAGAATTCTCAGCCAGTCAGCTTGAAAACATACTAGGCATGCATGTGAGTACCCAGGATCCAATGGGCTGAAGGACTGGAAAAGGGAGATTGTGGTGTAAACAGATTGGGGGGTGGGGGGGACTTAATCTCTCTCTGTCCCTCTCTTTCTCTCTCATCCCTCTCCCTCTCATATGCATGTACACAAGCTCTAGCATAAATTTAAAAAAGAAAAGAAAAAAGTATGGTCTCTGAACTTCTCAGAGTCTCTAAGTCCATTATGGAGATCCAAGAAATAAAATGTACCAAAATATTACTTGCCTTTTTCACTGTATTCAATGATGATGCAAACACAGGTGAGCAAAATTGCTGATACCTTAGCAAAACTCAAGGCAAAGGCACCAAACTATACTAAGAAGCACTGTAGTCTCTACTTGAAGTTTTTTTGGGTTTTTTTGGTTTTTTGTTTTAGGGCCAGTTTCTAATAAGATGTCCTTGATAAAGCAATAAATATTATGAATTTTAGTAAATCATGACCTGTATGACCTTTTTTCCTAACATTATGAAATAAAAAGGGAAAAGTACACATAAAGTGCTGCTGTAAGAGGTCTGAGGAAAAAAGCTTGCACACTGAGTTGCAGGCTCAACTGTAAAGTTTTTTTCATGGACATGGCTTTTACTTGGCAGAATGACTGACAATCTGTAATTATTCAAATGTGGATAGTTAGCAGACATTTTTCCAAAAATGAACAAAGCAAATCTGCCACTTCAAGAAAAATTACTGGCGATATTCAGTGCCAATGACAAAATCTTGCATTTTCAAGCTAAGGTTAGATTTTGATAACTTGTATCTACCACCATCAAGAGCTTGAACATTTTACCTTTTTTAAAAATTGGCTATAGAGAGCATGCACTTGCCAGAGAGACAGACAGGAGAGGGGCAGGGATGTATGAGAAACATTCACACACACCCCCCCAAGCGATAATAAAGCCTCAATCCCTTATCCTCCATTCTCCTCTCAGGATTTGGGCAGGCATGTTCACACATCCAAGTGCACCCAGCTTGTTTCTCAAGCCACCAGGTCTTGAGTGAGCCAGCTGGGATCTACCCACTTTAACCACCATGCCACCTGGCTGGCCCCATTTTCTCAATACTTAAAAAATGTTTCTGATTAAAAAAGAGTAATGTGACATTAATGAATGTGAATTTTTGTTATTACATAATATAATGCATCAGCATTTTGAAGATCTGCATAAACACCCGAATAGCCAATGCATGTTAGAAAACCATGCTTGAGGGGACCAGCAGTTGGCGTAATGGCTATGTCACTGAACTCCCATGTAGCTGACCGCCGTTCAAGTCCCGGACCCAGCGGCTTAAACTCACACCAGGTGTGTGTGCATGCGTGCTCAATATCCTGAGAGGAGAATGGAGGAGAAGGGATTGCGGCGTGACCATCCCCCCTGGGGGGGTGATTTCTCGCTTTATCTGTCTCTGTCTTTCTGACGAGCACATGCACCCTATAGCAAAAACCTCTACCCCCTAAAAAAAAAAAAAAAGCGTAAGTATACACAAGGTAGACCAATGGATTTGAATGTAACAAAATATGAAAAATTGATAATAGTTTTAGATACCACATAGCAAAAAGCCTCTACAGAACTATAACTTGTTGGGAACCAGCAGTTAGTGTAATGGCTGTGTCGCTGGACTCCCACATAGTCGACCGCGGTTCGCGTCTCAGACCCGGTGGCTTAAACCTCACGCCGGGCACGTGTGCGTGCGTGCCCAAGATCCCAAGAGGAGAATGGAGGAGAAGGGATTGCGGCGTGACCATCCCCCCTGGGGGGGTGATTTCTCGCTTTCTATCTCTATGTCTCTGTCTGTCTGGCGAGCGCACGCGCCCTATAGCGAAAACCTCTCCAAAAAAAATAAAAATAAAAATAAAAAAACTATAACTTGTTGAGTTTGGGTATGAAGAGTCAAAGGACATCCCCATAATCAAAGACTACTGAGCCAGCACAGTAGTTTAGGGACTCAGATCCCACAGAACCCACTGCAGTTTGAATCCACAATCCAACTTGAAAAAAACAAGCTCAGCATGCCTACATGCCTGCATGCCACAAATCCTAATGAGATGGAGAAATGGAAGGAAAAGGATTGTCATATGACCACACCCCACTGGGGAGTGCTCTCTCTGGTGAGTTTAAGAGCTCTCTGACAATGAAAAAATAAATACATTAAATTTAAAGAGAAGACTACTAAAACATCCCTCTCGTTTCCAACTACATACATGAATGAGAGAGGGTAGATTTTTCTTTACATATGCCCACTCAACAAAACTTATCATAATACAATGCATTACAGAAGCAGATATGAGAACAGAGCTATTTCCTATTAAATCAGACATTAAAAATTTTTTCAAAAAATGTAAAACAAGGTTATTTGTTAATTTTTTGTTAAGTTTACTTTTTATAATATGTCATGGATTTTTCTTTAATGATTTTTTAAATCTGCTATAGGGCATGTGCACTTACTTAATAGAGAGAATGTATGAGAAGTGAGAAAGCAAGCCATCAGGACTTGGACTATAACTAAGGTCAGCAGTGTGGGAGTCTAGTGCCCTAACTACTGCGATACCTGCTGGCCCTGGCCTTGTTATTTTAAAGTGACTTAGTAAATAACTTTCTTTAAATTAAATTTATTTGTTATTATTTCTTTCTATTAAGTTTCCTATAGGGTACTTGTGTTCACCAGAGAGAGACAGAGGGAAGTGAGAAAGCAAGCAAACAGGGTCCAGGACTCGAACTGCTACTGGTCATGTGGGAGTCTATCTAGCACCTCAACCATCCGCTGCCTACTGGCCCAACATTTTTTTTTTAATTCCTTATAGTTTCTAATACAGCCTCACCCTCTAAAGCAGTCATTAGTTTCCAGGACTGCAGTGATGAAAACCACATGGCCAACCATAACCAGATCCCCTAAAACATATGGGACACACACACACTTGCCCAGGATCCTAAGGAACTGAAGGGCTGGGAAAAGGGATCACAGCACAATCAAAGCCTCTTGGGGGGTTGGGGGTGGGGGCAGTGCTTCTTTCTTGCACATGCATGCACACAGTGCTGTTGTGAATCAAAATAAGAGTTTCTAATTTAATAATTGTCAACAGATAATAACCTACAAAAGCTCTCTGATTCTCAAACTCTGTTTCCCTTAGCGCATGTGTACTCACTGGACAAAGAGAAAGAAAGTGAGAGGTAAAGTGAGAAATCACCCTCCCAGGGAACAAAGCCAAGCAACAGTCCATTCTCCTCCATTCTCCTCCTGGGATCTTGGGCATGCACACACATACACCTGGTGTGAGTTTCAAGCCACTGGGTCTGGGATTTGAATCACAGTCAGTCATGTGGGAGTCCAGCAACACAACTTCTACGCCATCTGCTGGCCCCTCTTCAACTATTTTAAAGAGTAAAACACAACTATTTTTAATAGTTAAAAGAGGTACGGAGACCAGAAAGTTAGTGAAATCACTTAACTATAATCAATCTTTCTCTCTTAACACCCATTAGAAAAAGAGGGCAATCTCCAATTTGGTCAAACATTTTCATCTTATTCAATACCAACATAGCATGGTAGACCTTGCAGAACTTATACCAAGCTTCTTCTCAGTATGATAATTCAAATCATTCATATAAAAATAAATT